TTAAAATTTTTTCTTTAATAATTCTTCAGAATTTTTATATAAATATCCGTAATTATGCGAAACTAGTTGTAAAATAAAAAGTTGTAACTGATGCTCAGGATATTCTAAAATATATATAAAATAACGATTTCTGTCATCAACATAAAATAAATAGATTTAAAGAACATAAACTCTTTCGTAAGTTTGTTAAAAAAAGGATTACTTAGTAACATCTGGAATGAATAGTATTGAATTAAAACATAGTAATCTTAAATAACAACGCTGAAAATACTTGCTTACTCCTACTAACTACCACAACATAAAGTGGTTGGTTGTTCACAAGAAATATCATTAGAAAAAATGTACCGGGTGGCCAACTAAGAATGGACGCCGGCTGTATCTCAGAAACCACTTATCGTGTAGCGTTGGGAAAAAAATGTAATGCGTAAATCGGCCAAGAGAAATCGCTGGAAATTATTTTCAAGCCTGGAAAACGTCAACTACTATTGTTTTCTAAAAAATATGCAGGTGAAGAGGTATTTTAAATATTACTATTGTAATCATCCAGAAATTTGTAATTTTTTTGATATTGAGTATTTTGCTCTCTCATAAAATAAAGTGGTGGGGGAAGGTTAAATTTGATTTTATTAAAATAAGGATAACTCTGGTTTAGGTTAACCAATTTTAACAAACTAAGGCTTGTTTAAAAGAGCTTTTCTTCCTTAATGATCTCCGGTACAAATTTTGTTTCCATAGATTTTTTCGTAGTAGCTAGAGGGCGCTGTTTGACATCATAACAGATATTGCGCTTTTGCACCAAAAATTTAAATAGCAGGTTATGTTTCTTTTTACACGGGCACAAAATTTCCAAAATATCAGCGCCTTTTTTCGGCGCCTAACTTTCTATCTACTCTCTAACCGGATATATTAAGAGAACAAATCATGTTAGGCTGCCGCTTAGGATCATTTGGTGTAAAAATTATAGTAGTAGGCTAGGAAGCAAAGAGAGGTAAAACCAGCAATTCCACCTCTGTCTTATCCTAAAACGGAAAGATTTCCGGCTTTTGAGATTTTCGGTTGCTTTCGTATGGTGCTTTGAAGCTAACCAAACCAAAAAGTGCAGGCTTACTGTCCTTTGGGACAAAACAAATCGTGTTGAAGATAAATACTTCGAGAACATTTCCTTCTCTCCTTTCTTTTGCCGATAAAACACTTTCAGTTTCCTTCAAAACCGACGCAACCCACTGATCAAAACCAGGATCGTTTCAAAAACACCTTTCTATAAGCCACAGTAATAAGTATACTAATAAGTAATACTTGCAAACAGAAAAAACGCCGAAGTGTTACTTAACTGGTGAGGTCGGGTTAAAAAATACACAGAATTTCCGAAATCCTCAAAAAACTCGAGTATCAGAGTTTTGCTAATGGAGTTTTGCTAAATTAGGATTGATTGACGTATTCAATTATTGTTTTCGGTCACTTCCTCTTTCACCGGAAATAACTACAACTTTTGATTTTTAAAGGGCACCCTCGCTATTCTGTAAGTTTATTCGATAGAAAATGACACTCTGAATAGAAGGACATATATCATATGTCAACTTTTGACATTTTCGAATATGATTTATTTGAAATTGCAACATGCGATTCATAACGACAATTTGATTCGAAATACCAAGTGTAGTACCAAATTACTCGTAAAAAAATGCTTTTCCCAAATTGCTAATGTGCCACCCTCGTTCCATTTGAAAAAAATTGAGATATAATTAAAAATGGGATTTGGGCATATTTTAACCGGCCAGGACAAGGCACGAAAAACAATAGACGATCAAATCTATTTTTCCAAGGCTACTTGATTAAGAATTAGTATTTTTAACACAGCCATGGCACCCTAGAATGAAATTTCAAATACGACTTTTTTTTTAAAGCGAAAATGTTAAAAGTTGACATAATAATATGATATGTCTTCTACTCAGAGTGTCATTTTCTATTGAATAAATTAGAAAAAAATACGCCCTCTAGCTTTGTCCCCGTAGATTTTAGAGGTTTGTTACTTAGAGATTCATTCAGAGAATTTAATTCCCTTTATTCTACGGTTCAGCCAGAAAATTGAATCTAATTTTTTTTGAGTTTCTCAAAAACGGTGGGGTGGAGGGATACGAATTTTCGAATTTAATCTTTTCCAGTGTACCACTTACGACTGGCAAACTATGAAAGCGGGGGTAATTTGATGGAACTTAAAGGTGCCAGATTAACTGTCCTAATTATCGCTCGGTTCATTAACCGACAAACAAAAATACTACGAACAATAATATCCAAATTGTTTCAACTCTACCCAGTCTACTCTATTACTTATTCCTTATAATATTGCACAAAACCCGTACTATATTATTTTTTTAGTCTTATTTATAGATGCTCTCTTTTGTCTCACAATCCATGAGTGATGAGATTTTTATGATGTTAATGAGAGTTTTAAATTTTATTTTTGAAGATCAGAAGAAGGTAAAAATCAGTTTCTAGTTGATTAGCTAAAAAGGGACTACCTCAAAGTAACCTTTTTCTTTTGAAAACGTAGCAATTGTTGAAATAATTACAAAGCTTTCCAATCACATTTTATATATTTCTTCTTTATGCTACTCTCTTCTACGTCTACTCTCTCTCCTTTTTTTCTTTATATTTGAGTGTATAATACCAAGTAGGATAGACGGCAGCGTTAATTGAAAGGAGAGCGGCACCGGCGGCCGCGAGAGGGCGTTTTAATTTAAAGCGCGCGCGTTCTCAAAACGAGCCATGTCCGCGACGTCCTTTGAATGCCGGAACGTCCTGGGGCTATTTTCAAGCGCGGAACCAATACCTCCTTAAAAACTAAAACCCTAAAACTTGCGTAAAACCGTAATTGCTTAAGATATTAAAAACGACGATTTTTCAGTAAGAGTGTCCACGCACAGGTCGTCTGGCTTTCGAAGCGGAAGCGTCTCGAACCGGAATGCGAACTATGCGATGCGATTGAATGTTTCTCCGCACATGGGTTTTTGTTGGTTATGTAGGGAAAGTGTCCTAAAATGACATAGCATGTAAAATGACATACCTCCCATTATTTTGGAACTACTGGTGCCATCTAGCATATAGATGCGGTTTTATGTAGAAAAACGCAATCAAACTTCACGTTGGCGCTCAGTTTGGTTTTCGGTTATCACAAGAAGCAGTTAACCTCAAAAAATTATTTTCACTAACATGAAAACTTTTAACGTGCTGTGCTGCAAGTGTGTTTTCATTACCAAATAGTGTTTGTTTTAAGGTGACATCACAATAAAATGTAACTATAAGTGTGTACTATAGATGTACATACGTAGAATTGTCGTTCTAGATGAGATAAAAAAATCAGGTAAAAACAGAGACCACGTGTTATTGTGGGTAAAATGACATAGGTATGCATGAATGTAGAATGACACACTGCCATTTTTCAACCACACTGCATAAATCAATTTGAATTAATCATTGTATCATTTTTTTTTATTTAGTGACACTATGGTGGGTAAACGGGAAAGGACATCAAGCAGACAGTCCTGGGACGAAAAATCAGTGCGAAATGCTATTGATGCTGTTAAATCTGGTCAAATGGGATGGTTGAGAGCAGCCAAACTCTTTAATGTCCCTCAGGCCACGTTAAGGCGAAGAGCAAATGATGTTAACACAAGAGCCAAAGGTTGTTTAAAAGTTTTGGGGCGACTTTCAACCACATTTAGTGAGGCTGAAGAAAGAGACTTTGTTGAGCATATATTGTTACTAGAGTCTAGATTATTTGGGATTACTATTACAGATATAAAAAAAACTTGCGTTTGAATTTGCTACTAAAAATCACATTCCAAATAGATTTACGAAAGAGGGCAGCGCTGGCCGAGAGTGGTTGAGAGGATTTCGTAGTCGACATCCTGAAATATCCCTACGGCAGCCTGAAGCTGTGTCTGCTGCTAGAGCTATGGCATTTAATAGGCTACAAATACAAACATTTTTCCTTCATCCTTGAAATGACACTGGAAAAGGCGAAAATTGATGTCGACCGCATTTATAATATGGACGAAAGTAGCATATCCACAGTGCAGAGTCCTCCAAAAATTTTTGCGAAAACGGGAAAGAAACAAGTTGGGTCGATAACTAGCGCTGAGAGGTCAACATACGAGTATAACATGTGTCTGCTGCATGAATGGTATAGGAAATTTCGTGCCGCCAGCTCTGATTTTCCCCAGGAAAAATAGAAAGGAGGAGCTTCTAGATGCTTTACCTCCAGGGTCCTTAGGATTATTTCACGAAACTGGATGGATGACAGCTGATACTTTTGTTTGGTGGCTGAAGCATTTCTAGAATTTTGTTAAGGTTTCTCTCGAATCAAAAGTTTTATTACTTTTGGATGGGCACTCCAGCCATAAATCACTAAACGCATTGACATTTGCCAAAAACAATGGAATAATTATGTTGTGCTTTCCTGCGCATTGCACACATCGTATACAGCCGCTCGATGTCTGTTTTTATGGTCCTCTGAAGACATTTTATAATCAGGAATGTGCAATGTGGCTGAAAAATCATCCGGGACGTGTAATTACACAGAATCAAATTGGCGAACTGTTCACTTCTGCTTATGGAAAAGCAGCAACGATAAAAAACGCTACAAGCGGATTTTTGAAAACGGGCATTTGTCCATTCAACCCAAATATTTATATTTATAAATATATATAACATGTAAATTGTATCTTTCCAGACGATTTCTTTGAGGCAGCTGAGACCACAGATAGGTTGCTAGAGCCAAGCAACATAGAAGAAAAAACATTTAATCGACCAGAAACATCAGTCAGCAATGAAATAGAAGAAAGTGGTGTTCTGAAAGAAACGATGCAACAAGATCAAGATGAAATTAGCAATGAAAAAAATGACGCTAGAGAAAACGAGGAAAACAATCCACCTTTAAAATAATAATTACCCTGCAGGAAATTTCTCTAGTGCCTAAAGCAAGTGGCACTAGAAAAAGGATGACTAGGAAAACAATAACCGGAGTTTTAACAATTACTCCTAATTTGGAAGAACTGAAGAAGAAAGAAGAAAAGAAAATAAGGGGAAATGTTCGTCAATGCAAAAGAAACATTTTAAGTCAGTCATGTTCCATTAAACAAACAGAAAGTGATGAAGAAGATCCGTTTGCAACCGAGGACAGTGAGGATGATGTAGCTTGTCTTAACTGCAATGATTTGTTTAGAAATTCGCGGTCCAAGGAGGCCTGGATTAGTTGTATGAAATGCAAGAATTGGGCACATTGTGAATGTGCCGGAGTATCCCCGAAACAAAAGAACTTCATTTGTGAAGTTTGCCAAGATTAGCTTTTTATTTAGTTACTTTCTCTTTCCTTATTTTTGTGTTATGTTGTTATTATCATTTGTTATAAGCATATGTCATTTTAAACCTCATGCATGTGTCATTTTACATACATACTTGTTGTAAAATGACATAGTGTAACGTTTTCTTAATTTTATTTTTTTACAAGTTTTTTATAGAGATGGAATATTTTCGTTCAGTTTATCAATAAAGATTATTCAAAGGAATGTGTAACTTTTTTCCCAGTTCGATATTTTGAATGGCTTCTGCAAAAACAGGTCTGAAATAAAAAGTTTGTCATTTTAGGACACCTTCCCCTAATATTGAATTTTTGTTTTAGCATAGTTGGCAAATGTGATGAAGTGATAGACATAATGTAAACATTTTTTGTTGATCTGGTGATATATTTCATGGAATGCATACAGGTATAATATATACCTGACAGTCCGGTACGCCACAAGATAGACTAGGCGACAAGACAACTTTATGCACGTGTGAAAATACTTCTTGTTCCGTTTTTATTATCTTTCTGGATTGCACTTTTTTATGCTTATTAGTGTATGTAAATAATGATAGAGTTAATTAATATGGATAGTGACGAAAAGACTGTGGAGTTTATCTTATTTATAGTGTAAGAATACTTTACATAAATATCGGGGCAGTGGACTAAATTTTCTTCAAGCACTTGACTACTTTTTTATGATTGATAAGGCAAAAAAGTAAAAATACATGAAAAAAGTTGGTAATGTGTTTTTATTTGTAGTTTTCTGTTGTATGATGATATAAGTTCTATTTATTTCGCACGTGTGTCAGAAATTGGTACTAAATACTCAACTAAGAACGTAGTTGAGTAATACTAATACTCAACTTTTTGCAATACAACCTAATATACCTACTCAAATACCATTAAAAATTAAAACATGAAAACAATAGATTTTAATAAATTATCTGATGTGAAATTGAAAGTGAAATCAACCAGAAGCATCAGAACATCCTGTATTTACAACACCTCCATATCGCACACTCTCCGCAGCTCGTAAGGTTCGATTCGAACTGGATTTCGACTCCGCGTCGATCGCTAAACGACCCGTTCGTGGACCTACTATTATTTACGTATGAAGTAGAGTGGCGGGAGATTGCGCTTACGTTTCGAAAGCCAGTCGACCCGTGTGTGGACGCTCTAACAGTCCTGTTACGTTCCTGTCCCGTTCTTGAAACAGTTCCAAATACCTATTCCACGTTCCGCCTGTTACTTTAATACTACACTGTTCCGTAAGCTGTAAGCAGAATGGAACAGAAACCATTTCACCTGTTCGCGGACCATCTTGGCTGATATCTACAAATTGTTATTTTTTATATAATTATTTTTCTAGGATATTTAGGCTAATTATTCAATAGATATCGTTTTATATAATAACTAGCGTGTACCAGCGACTTCGTTCGCGTCGAATTAATCATTTGTAATGGTGATGATAAAGCAAAGCAAGAATTTCCATTAACATACAAACTGGATAAAATTTTCCACATTTATGTCAGCATGAGAAAAAACAATATGGCGATATTATTATATAACTTGGTAATATTTGAGGGGTAGTTTCATTTCGTTGGAATTTGACTTTCGAAAAATCCGTTTGCCAAAAATAAGCTTTTTACGTCAAGCAGTTTAAGCAGAATCGTGGTTAAGAAATTACACAAATTTTTGGAACACCCTGTATGATTTTTTAAAAAATTTCAAAATATGTAAAAAAACCAAATAAATTATGCTCGTCCAAGTATTTTCCCGAAAGACTTTTAAGTTTTTTATATAACAAATATTATAATATTCGAGGGGCGTTTTCGCCCTCTTGGAATTTGAGATTCGAGAAACCCCTCCTTATCGAACCTCTACACCCCACAGTCAATCCGTTTGCCAAAAATCAGCTTTAAACGTCAAGCAGTTTAAGCAGAATCGTGATTACTCAATGGTCATATTTTATTAAACACCCTGTATAAATTTATAAAAATCTTAAAATATGTAAACAACAAAATAAAATATGCGTGTTTAAAAGTTTTTCCAAAAAACTCACCGGTTTTTAAATAAAAAATATTTTAATATTTGAGGGATAGTTTCACCCCCTTAGAATTCGAGTTTCGAAAAATCCCTTCTTATCGAACCTCTACACCCTAAAGTCAATCTGTTTTACAAAAATCAGCTTTTTACGTCAAGCGCTTTAAGCAGGATCGTGATTAATCAATGACCAGATTTTTCGAAACACCCTGTATACATTTTTAAAAATTTTAAAATATGTAAAAAAACAAAATAAATAATACGTGTTTAAGCGTTTTTTCGGAAACTTGGCCGTTTTTTAAATAAAAAATATTGTAATATTTGAGGGGTGGTTTCACCCTCTTAGAACTGGAATTTCGAAAAATTCCTTCTTATCGAACCTCTACACCCTAGAATCAACCTGTATGCCAAAACTGAGCTTCTTACGTTGAGTGGTTTGAGCAGGATCGTGATTAATCAGTATGTCAGTCACTTAAGGATTTTATATATTAGTATAGATTAATGCACTGTTCAGGTAAATATAGACACAAAATTTTTTGAGTTTTTAAGTTTAAAAAAAAAGAATAATTTGTTAGTTCAATCGCCTAATAAAAAGCAATACCTATATGTTAAAAATCCATTATAAAAATACCTGTAAAAACCCTAATAATGTCCCTAATAGTACTGAATAACGGAACTCAAGAACCTGGAGGACACCATCCGTAACCTGGAATGGGAATCATCCAACGATATAAGACACTCGAAAAAGTTTCTCAGAATTTATGACCGAGAAAAATCAAATATTTTCCTTGATTTAAGAAAGAACAATCTTCTAATTGTCACATGGGTTTGTAACAGAACACTGTATTTCCTCAACGACCACCTCAATAGATTGAAGCTGAGAAACAATGGCGAATGGAGATTCTATAGGGAAAATGGGGAAACAACAGAACACCTTACCAGTGAGTGCGCCGAAACGACAACTGTTCTTGCCATAAACTGTTGATTTTTACTAAATACTTTGTACTTTGGTACAGGCATTTGTAAAAGCCCTGAAACAGTACAAAGGAGAACACATGATAGATCTATAATGTCGCGGTGATTAACCCCCCTCCTGAACATTCTACAATAGTATTAAATAAGATAAGCCGCGTAGCCGGGGACACATTGTTCTGACGTGATGTGTTGTTCGTGTTGTGTTGCATTATCATGTGATGTGTGGTGAACACATTATTCTGATGCGATTAATTTTTTGAACCACACTGGTAGTGCGTTATTTTCCTTCATATAGTCATAACTTCCATAACTGCCATAACTTCTAGTTCCTCAGACGAATTTGAAGAAGAAATTGAAGAATGCGTTGCGGCTGTTTGTTCTGCGTTAATAAGAAAGAAAAGAAAATTGTGGATATCCGAAATAAACGAAAATAGAGAACTATCGAGCGAGTACCATAGGTACGTTATTTTTTAAAGGTTGGCTGCTGTAATGCCGGGACTTTATTTTGAATATACATTCGTGGTTTCTAACGAGCTCAATTTATCAAGAAGCATCACAACACCAGACCAACCATTTTAAAGAAATCAAACATCACTATTTGAAGCGTTCAGATGGTTCTGACGGCCTGTGACGAAGATCTGGACTAGCCGCATTTTGTTGCAACACAACGCGTTATAAAACGTCAGATAGCATAGCATCAGATGAGTGTGCACGCGGTTCACTTAAATATAAAGGAAATAAGCATGATGTATGTAAACTTGCGTAGCGTCTCAACACAACTCAACACATCAGAACAATGTTTCCCTGGCTTTATTTTCTTCTGCAAGTTATCACTCATTTTGAGATATTGAATGAAACTTTTCTTTAGATGAACAGAAAGATTTCCAGGAATAGCTGGACCGTGGAATATGATAAATATCTAAACCTCCAGTAGTTGTGGCTTTAGTTTTCTAGACGGTAATAGCATTCTCTCTGTAATATACCGCAGATCCACTTACATCGCCGCCCCCGTTGTACAATGCGAAAGAAACAAGGGTGCGGATAAGCGGCTTTGTTTTCGTTTTGACAGATACGGTCAAGCCAGAGAAAAAGTTTATGAAATAGGTTACTTCACAACGGAATAAGACATCATGGGCGTAGCGAAATTTTTACTTAACGCGGGGCCAAAAGTCAGTACCAAAATCTGTTTAAGACTTTCATCAAGATTATTATAATAATTTTCTTAACTTTAAATCAAATGTTTTTTGGTATTTGCACGATCCTTAGCACTTTTTTTCTCGCTAGCTCGTGCGTTAAGGGCGTGTCATGTCAAGGTCGTGGTCATGACACGCCACACACATACCATCCTGGCAAGCGAAATCTTGGTTCGGCATTTACATGTATAGGAATGAATCGCTATGGCAATCGAGTAAGTCGGAAAGAGCAAATATGCCAAGTATTCATTGCATGACAACTTAATGAGACATGCGCTTGGGGAAATACTTGTCTTCTGTCTGTACTGAATAACTTATGTACTGAATCTTATTTTACTAAGCATGTTGATTTGGTTTGGTTTGGCCAGAAATGCCAACCCTAGTACACATAAATGATAAAAGGAAAGGTAGTAGTAAAGAAATGCAATAAAATGCATGTTTTTGTATGCAGATGTTGGAAGCGATGAGTATAGATCAACTTTTTTTGTGGACCAACGATAAGAGTAACTAGGAACAAATGTTTTTATTTCTATGCTCTTAACGACTAAATGTTTAATGGGCACCAAGTTTCAATTGCTCTAGATATCTTGTCTAACATATAGTCAAAAGTTGCTGGCTTTATCGGCATCTACGACCCTTAAATAACTTAAATGGTGTATAATTGCTCTAAAGTGACTCCGAAAGTATTATTGTAACAGCAAACGGTGGCGCAGACGCGGATATTGTCAGCAGGATCAGGAAGGCGCAGCGAGCCTTTTACCAACTAAAATCAGTTTGGATATCCCGTCAA